AAACCTGAGTGCAAAAATGGAGGCTCTAGACCCTTCCAGAGCTGAGATATCGAAACTCAAAATTTCGACCCGAAAAAAAAACGACAGTGGTACCCCTTTCGTTTTTTTTTTCGGGCGAAAAATTAAGTTTCTCCAATCTTCTCAAAACTCTGGATTCTGATAGAGGGCCATGAGACTTAAACCTGAGTGCAAAAATGGAGGCTCTAGACCCTTCCAGAGCTGAGATATCGAAACTCAAAATTTCGACCCGAAAAAAAAACGACAGTGGTACCCCTTTCGTTTTTTTTTTTCGGGCGAAAAATTAAGTTTCTCCAATCTTCTCAAAACTCTGGATTCTGATAGAGGGCCATGAGACTTAAACCTGAGTGCAAAAATGGAGGCTCTAGACCCTTCCAGAGCTGAGATATCGAAACTCAAAATTTCGACCCGAAAAAAAAACGACAGTGGTACCCCTTTCGTTTTTTTTTTTTCGGGCGAAAAATTAAGTTTCTCCAATCTTCTCAAAACTCTGGATTCTGATAGAGGGCCATGAGACTTAAACCTGAGTGCAAAAATGGAGGCTCTAGACCCTTCCAGAGCTGAGATATCGAAACTCAAAATTTCGACCCGAAAAAAAAAACGACAGTGGTACCCCTTTCGTTTTTTTTTTTGGGCGAAAAAAAAATTCTAAACCTAGACTTAACCTGAGTGCAAAAATGGAGGCTCTAGACCCTTCCAGAGCTGAGATATCGAAACTCAAAATTTCGACCCGAAAAAAAAACGACAGTGGTACCCCTTTCGTTTTTTTTTTTTCGGGCGAAAAATTAAGTTTCTCCAATCTTCTCAAAACTCTGGATTCTGATAGAGGGCCATGAGACTTAAACCTGAGTGCAAAAATGGAGGCTCTAGACCCTTCCAGAGCTGAGATATCGAAACTCAAAATTTCGACCCGAAAAAAAAAACGACAGTGGTACCCCTTTCGTTTTTTTTTTTGGGCGAAAAATTAAGTTTCTCCAATCTTCTCAAAACTCTGGATTCTGATAGAGGGCCATGAGACTTAGACCTGAGTGCAAAAATGGAGGCTCTAGACCCTTCCAGAGCTGAGATATCGAAACTCAAAATTTCGACCCGAAAAAAAAAACGACAGTGGTACCCCTTTCGTTTTTTTTTTTCGGGCGAAAAATTAAGTTTCTCCAATCTTCTCAAAACTCTGGATTCTGATAGAGGGCCATGAGACTTAAACCTGAGTGCAAAAATGGAGGCTCTAGACCCTTCCAGAGCTGAGATATCGAAACTCAAAATTTCGACCCGAAAAAAAAACGACAGTGGTACCCCTTTCGTTTTTTTTTTTCGGGCGAAAAATTAAGTTTCTCCAATCTTCTCAAAACTCTGGATTCTGATAGAGGGCCATGAGACTTAAACCTGAGTGCAAAAATGGAGGCTCTAGACCCTTCCAGAGCTGAGATATCGAAACTCAAAATTTCGACCCGAAAAAAAAAACGACAGTGGTACCCCTTTCGTTTTTTTTTTTTGGGCGAAAAATTAAGTTTCTCCAATCTTCTCAAAACTCTGGATTCTGATAGAGGGCCATGAGACTTAAACCTGAGTGCAAAAATGGAGGCTCTAGACCCTTCCAGAGCTGAGATATCGAAACTCAAAATTTCGACCCGAAAAAAAAAACGACAGTGGTACCCCTTTCGTTTTTTTTTTTCGGGCGAAAAATTAAGTTTCTCCAATCTTCTCAAAACTCTGGATTCTGATAGAGGGCCATGAGACTTAAACCTGAGTGCAAAAATGGAGGCTCTAGACCCTTCCAGAGCTGAGATATCGAAACTCAAAATTTCGACCCGAAAAAAAAACGACAGTGGTACCCCTTTCGTTTTTTTTTTCGGGCGAAAAATTAAGTTTCTCCAATCTTCTCAAAACTCTGGATTCTGATAGAGGGCCATGAGACTTAAACCTGAGTGCAAAAATGGAGGCTCTAGACCCTTCCAGAGCTGAGATATCGAAACTCAAAATTTCGACCCGAAAAAAAAAACGACAGTGGTACCCCTTTCGTTTTTTTTTTCGGGCGAAAAATTAAGTTTCTCCAATCTTCTCAAAACTCTGGATTCTGATAGAGGGCCATGAGACTTAAACCTGAGTGCAAAAATGGAGGCTCTAGACCCTTCCAGAGCTGAGATATCGAAACTCAAAATTTCGACCCAAAAAAAAAACGACAGTGGTACCCCTTTCGTTTTTTTTTTTCGGGCGAAAAATTAAGTTTCTCCAATCTTCTCAAAACTCTGGATTCTGATAGAGGGCCATGAGACTTAAACCTGAGTGCAAAAATGGAGGCTCTAGACCCTTCCAGAGCTGAGATATCGAAACTCAAAATTTCGACCCGAAAAAAAAAACGACAGTGGTACCCCTTTCGTTTTTTTTTTTCGGGCGAAAAATTAAGTTTCTCCAATCTTCTCAAAACTCTGGATTCTGATAGAGGGCCATGAGACTTAAACCTGAGTGCAAAAATGGAGGCTCTAGACCCTTCCAGAGCTGAGATATCGAAACTCAAAATTTCGACCCGAAAAAAAAAACGACAGTGGTACCCCTTTCGTTTTTTTTTTTCGGGCGAAAAATTAAGTTTCTCCAATCTTCTCAAAACTCTGGATTCTGATAGAGGGCCATGAGACTTAAACCTGAGTGCAAAAATGGAGGCTCTAGACCCTTCCAGAGCTGAGATATCGAAACTCAAAATTTCGACCCGAAAAAAAAAAACGACAGTGGTACCCCTTTCGTTTTTTTTTTCGGGCGAAAAATTAAGTTTCTCCAATCTTCTCAAAACTCTGGATTCTGATAGAGGGCCATGAGACTTAAACCTGAGTGCAAAAATGGAGGCTCTAGACCCTTCCAGAGCTGAGATATCGAAACTCAAAATTTCGACCCGAAAAAAAAAACGACAGTGGTACCCCTTTCGTTTTTTTTTTTTCGGGCGAAAAATTAAGTTTCTCCAATCTTCTCAAAACTCTGGATTCTGATAGAGGGCCATGAGACTTAAACCTGAGTGCAAAAATGGAGGCTCTAGACCCTTCCAGAGCTGAGATATCGAAACTCAAAATTTCGACCCGAAAAAAAAAACGACAGTGGTACCCCTTTCGTTTTTTTTTTTCGGGCGAAAAATTAAGTTTCTCCAATCTTCTCAAAACTCTGGATTCTGATAGAGGGCCATGAGACTTAAACCTGAGTGCAAAAATGGAGGCTCTAGACCCTTCCAGAGCTGAGATATCGAAACTCAAAATTTCGACCCGAAAAAAAAAACGACAGTGGTACCCCTTTCGTTTTTTTTTTCGGGCGAAAAATTAAGTTTCTCCAATCTTCTCAAAACTCTGGATTCTGATAGAGGGCCATGAGACTTAAACCTGAGTGCAAAAATGGAGGCTCTAGACCCTTCCAGAGCTGAGATATCGAAACTCAAAATTTCGACCCGAAAAAAAAAACGACAGTGGTACCCCTTTCGTTTTTTTTTTTCGGGCGAAAAATTAAGTTTCTCCAATCTTCTCAAAACTCTGGATTCTGATAGAGGGCCATGAGACTTAAACCTGAGTGCAAAAATGGAGGCTCTAGACCCTTCCAGAGCTGAGATATCGAAACTCAAAATTTCGACCCGAAAAAAAAAACGACAGTGGTACCCCTTTCGTTTTTTTTTTCGGGCGAAAAATTAAGTTTCTCCAATCTTCTCAAAACTCTGGATTCTGATAGAGGGCCATGAGACTTAAACCTGAGTGCAAAAATGGAGGCTCTAGACCCTTCCAGAGCTGAGATATCGAAACTCAAAATTTCGACCCGAAAAAAAAAACGACAGTGGTACCCCTTTCGTTTTTTTTTTTCGGGCGAAAAATTAAGTTTCTCCAATCTTCTCAAAACTCTGGATTCTGATAGAGGGCCATGAGACTTAAACCTGAGTGCAAAAATGGAGGCTCTAGACCCTTCCAGAGCTGAGATATCGAAACTCAAAATTTCGACCCGAAAAAAAAACGACAGTGGTACCCCTTTCGTTTTTTTTTTTTTCGGGCGAAAAATTAAGTTTCTCCAATCTTCTCAAAACTCTGGATTCTGATAGAGGGCCATGAGACTTAAACCTGAGTGCAAAAATGGAGGCTCTAGACCCTTCCAGAGCTGAGATATCGAAACTCAAAATTTCGACCCGAAAAAAAAACGACAGTGGTACCCCTTTCGTTTTTTTTTTCGGGCGAAAAATTAAGTTTCTCCAATCTTCTCAAAACTCTGGATTCTGATAGAGGGCCATGAGACTTAAACCTGAGTGCAAAAATGGAGGCTCTAGACCCTTCCAGAGCTGAGATATCGAAACTCAAAATTTCGACCCGAAAAAAAAAAAACGACAGTGGTACCCCTTTCGTTTTTTTTTTCGGGCGAAAAATAAGTTTCTCCAATCTTCTCAAAACTCTGGATTCTGATAGAGGGCCATGAGACTTAAACCTGAGTGCAAAAATGGAGGCTCTAGACCCTTCCAGAGCTGAGATATCGAAACTCAAAATTTCGACCCGAAAAAAAAAAACGACAGTGGTACCCCTTTCGTTTTTTTTTCAGGCGAAAAATGAAGTTTCTCCAATCTTCTCAAAACTCTGGATTCTAATAGAGGGCCATGAGACTTAAACCTGAGTGCAAAAATGGAGGCTCTAGAACCTTCCAGAGCTGAGATATCGAAACTCAAAATTTCGTCACGAAAAAAAAACGACAGTGGTACCCCTTTCGGTTTTTTTTCAGGCGAAAAATTAAGTTTCTCCAATCTTCTCAAAACTTTGGATTCTGATAGAGGGCCATGAGACTTAAACCTGAGTGCGAAAATGGAGGCTCTAGACCCTTCCAGAGCTAAGATATTGAAACTCAAAATTTGACCCGAAAAAAAAAACGACAGTGGTACCCCTTTTGTTTTGTTTTTGTTGTGGCAGATTTTAAGTCTCAATTCAAATCATCAAAGTCCGGATCAGGTCCTGAAGAAATTGTGCAGAGTCGAGGTTTTGGGTCTCAGAAAAGCAACTTTATTGAGCAGTTCAACAAAGTGAGATGCCAGCTGGCCATCTGATCTTACAATGGTCTGCACTCATTTCTTATACCTTGTGGTAGCCAATTAGCGCTCAAATTGTTATCTTTTATCTCCTTGCTCCTCCTTATTACTCCTCCCAGATTAAAAACACCTGCATTATCATTTTATTTTTAATTGGGGCAAACTTCCTTGCGCATGCGTATCATTTCTTTTTACACAATGGGCTCCTTGTTTCATTACACTTTTCCCAGTGGCACATTGTTACATTGTATACAATCTGTTTCTCTCCCAGTGCCTCCCAACACCTGCATCTGTGCTACAAGTGTTTTTTGGGTACTTTTCCACTCTCTCGTCCCTGTCCTCATGTGCCCTAAGACCCTAGCTTTTTCTGCTTGGCATTACATCACATGCACGCTTCTTTCACATGCACAGCATGCTTCTTTCACATGTACAGCACTCTTCTTTCACATGTACATAGGACAAGCAGAATTCTCCAACATAGCCCCCTTTGGGACTTTCTCTAGTCCCACACTCAATAATTGTGCCCAGGATGCATCTCTATGAGTCGGTCTTCTCTCCTTCTACCAATATGGTCAATATAGACCATTCACCTTTTACCAATCTAACCCACATCACATAGGTGCACCCTGGAGGAGAAGCAGGACCAAACATCTCCACCCTCCATTGACTAGAGTGGAGTAAAAGATCCTACCCTCCTTTTTACATCATCAGCTTAAGAGGCATGTTTCTTTGTGTTTCCCTGCATTTTTGAATCTTTATCTTGTCCCACGGTGCCAGAGGAACTTCGCAGGCGCTTCCGGTGGCCTGGAGTGCTATCTGGGTTGCTCCATCGTTGCCAGAGGTGCTCAAGTTGCCTTGGAGCGCTATCTGGTGTTGGAGCAGACAGCGGGTTTTTAAACCACCAGTTGAGTCTGCCCTTGCCTTCTTTGACAATCGGTGACCGCGCTTCACGTATAGTTCCTCTATCTACTACACACATGTACATGTTCCAACCATGTAAAATATCACCATTCTCTTTTTTCTTTTTTCCTTAATGCACTTCTACATACTACTTTCAGGAGTATAGATTGTATATATATATAAAAAAACAATGACAATGAAAACATTTGTATCTCAATCCCTCATACTGCATCATTTCTTTAAAGTAAGAACTTACTTTTAATCTCTTCTTACATTCCTTCTAATCCTTTTCCTTCATTCTTTTAGTTTCATAACACATTATATATGAATATACTCAAAAGGTGGTATATACCGTGACATAAAGTGAGTAGTAATAATAAAACATTCTTGACTTTTCATTTTTTCTGGTTGCATTATCTCGTACCACGGACAATGACCTGTTTCAGACCTTCTAGCATCCCCTTACATTCACATACTTATAATTGTGACCAGTGGTGTGATTATAGTAAAAATATTTCTTGTGGATTACATAAGCATGCTATATAGAAAGAGATTATATGAGTGTAAATATTCCCAGAAAGACAGCCCTTATACAAAATCAAAGGAATGTAGAAAAAAACCCCTCTAACTAACTGCCTACTCTACCCATGCACTAAATGTTCTAACTGATTTTATCCCCAAAATCAAAATACACAGTGGGGCTATCTCCCTCTCTAACCATAAACAGCGTAAAAATGTAAAAAATCAAAAAGTAATAAGGTACCATCTTTCCATATGGTCTCAGTTAGTTACTTTACAGAAACTCGTCCAGCTCATCCAGGTCTGGGGCACTTGGGTGAATCTCTTCATTGACACATCCAATGTCAACTCCAGTTGGTCTCACTGATTCATTGATCATGTGTTTGGCAGCTGCACTGGCCAGCATTGATCTGAGAAAAGGCACAACACAACAAAACAACAGAAAGAAAACACCAACTGATGCTGCTAATATTATTCCCACCTGAATGAGCCAGTCTTTCCAGGATGCAAATATTGAGTCAAGCCAATACCCAAAGCTCCTGTCTCTCCCCGCATTGGTAGCAACTTCCGGTCTTAATTCTTTTATCTTCTTCATGTCCCTAGTAAAAGATCCATCCAGGTCTGTGCCCGCTTAGGAATAAAGGTACAACAGTCAGTTTCAAACATTACGCACACACCTCCTGTGTCTGCCAGGAGCCAATTCAGAGCTTGTCTATTCTGCCAGGTCATTTTGCTTGTGTCTTTTAGTTGTTCTCCTAGAGCTTCGAGTGCTTCATCCGTGTAATTAATAAATCTCTGCTGATTGTACTATATGTAATGAATCCATTCCATATTCTTATTTGGCGTTATCTATACAAATATTAATTTAAGTCCTGCTGCTGCCTCGTCTCTAGCATATGGTCTCCATCTTGGCTGTAACAATCCATCACTAGATGCATGAAAGGTCCTTCTGGAATAGAGCCTATTGGGGTTGCTGTTCCTTTTCTGACATTATTTCACATTCATTTGAAAATTCATCTACCCTTGTCTGTAAGTATGGGGACCAAACTCCCTGTCTTTTTATCTTTCTCACATTTCCCCCCTTGCACAGTGATCAAAACTGTCTGTGCGCATCAGGAATCAGGATGTTCAGTAGTGGTAATGGAGCTATCATAAGTCCTTCCATGGCAATCAAATCTATTCTAACACCAATTCTGACGTTGTTTAGAAATATTGCATTTGGCTATCATCAATCTTCTTTTAAAATCATCTATCATCAAATTTCTTTCTTTTTTTTTTTCTCTTTTTATATTTTTACTCACTTCCCCCCTTTGTGCGATGGTCAAAAAACCACGCACATCTTAAATTAAAAAGGTTTGCCAGTGTAATTATTTTAATTCCTTTAATACCTCATTTGTCCAATCTAAAGTTGAGGGTGTTGCTGCCTTCTGGACTTATCTGATATAGACTTAATTTTATATTCAATTATCTATCCTAAATTTCAAGGTACGAATATCACTAATACAAAATTGTTAATACAACTCTGATGACAAAAGCTACTGAATATTGTGGTGTAGCATTCCCCATGTGACAATGTCCACGTCTTTGAACAACACAGCTGGCCGACATCAGTTGCCATTTGATTGTGTTAAACACCTCTGTCATAAACCTCACTTTTTTTAATATATAATATAACAAATTATCTGGTAGGTCAACTGTTTAAAAGACCGATTATCAGTTTATCTAATCTAATTTGTCATTCATCTGTTCATTTAATTTCTCCTCATAATCTTTTAAATTACTTTAGATCTCATCATAATCTCAAATTCATGACCCACAATATCAACATCGTATAATCCCCGGTAATATCAAAATTTGTGATATCACGTGTTTATAATTTGTGTAGTAACTATTTTACTTCTCAAAAATGACTATTGACCAAGATAGAGTGACCAGCATCATAGCTCTATCATCCACATTTTTGTTGTTTGACACATTTTGTCTCTCCCTTTTTTAATACAGAACTCACAATCACTCAAGCTTATACCAGCTACCTTGAAAGCATAGCCCAAACATTCTCTGTTTAATTAACAAAATCTTAAATAATCTAATGCTGCATTTACTCTTGTTGTTATTATTATTAATCCAATATTCTCTCACTCTGCTAAGTCCAGTCTCGGCTTTAATTAATTATTTAGTGACGCAAGCACTTGACTTCTTTTCTTTTAATTATATTATTAGCATTATTAAATGCTTACAGCTGGACTGACGTCTATTGAAAGAAAGCAAATAGAGTGTTAGCCTAACAGAACATAGAGAACTGCTGCTGGACCAGTGTATAATCAAAATACAATTAATATGGCCAATCAATGAAACTATAAGCGGTCTCTGTTGTGATCATTTAAGACGCATCACCTGCTTAAGAAAGGATGAAGTCCTTCTGCTTGGATCAGTTGAACTGGTTGGGCTGCTGTCATGTTTCTCTCCTCATCCAATGCATTTGATCTGTCAGTCCTCGTTCAAGGGTCTGGCGTCATGTTCTGACACAGTGGTTGGACTGGATGCTGTAGTCTCTCTGCTTCTCCTCAGCCTGGTTTTTGGCCAAGCAACGGAGGAGGCACATTTGAAGAATGGCAGGATGTTTTTTCTTGGTTGTTTCTCCATCAACACAGTCTTTGTCTATCCCAGCTCCTCAGAAGTTTCAACTTCATATTTTCAGGGAGGATGAAGGCCCACCAACCAAAATCTCACTTGTTGCACAGTCTAGTTGCTGTTGTTCATGTCGAGGCAGATGCCCCAAAAGCTGACTGGTGTCATCTGGAAAATGAACACTCAGAGATTCGCATTAATCAAATTCATACTTTATAAATTCTTCAACCATCTCTTTCAATTGTCCCTTAATTTCAGAAGTCTCATCTGGTTGATAACAGCAGTTCTTCTTTGAGCAAGCATGTTCTTCTTTGCAGAATGCAGAAAATAGCAGCCTATCAGTCCGTCTGAATTGCCTTATATGGTATTTTTATCACTTGCTATTTCGATCCCTACTCCCTCAAACATTTTAGGATTAAATTAATTACTCTCATTACTGTAAAAATGCATAAAATACAATACAGTATACGTCTGTTAAAAGTGTTTTTTTTTTAAGCTTGGTCACCCAATCCTGCTCATTCAACACAATCAATGTATTATTTAAAATAACGCAATTCAAAAATCTACATTTCTACAATATATCAAATTTCAAACTGTCTCCCAGGGATAACAAGATACAAACATCATAGGCCATGACTTTATACAGTATAACAGGTCAATCATACTCACATCTAGCATGTCTCTCTCTTTTTCTGTATATACTTTATATATCTCCAAATGTCAGATATTTCTATAATCCTTTTTGTCACTTATTCTTTTGGGAACTCCACAAACCACTAATACAAAGTAGAACACTCCAGTATTTTTGATGGCCACCAGTTTTTCACAATCCACCATATCAATCCCTGTTAGGCCTGCTTATTAATTCAATTTCCCTATAGACCGGTCAACTAACATTTATTCAATTTTAGTAGTTTCTTTCACGTTAATTTCTTATTTTTTAAAAATTATTTTATTGGTGTTTTCTCTGTAATTCTGAAACTAGCCTATTTTTAATTCTGACTGGATTAGCAGAATTCACCAATCCTATTTCATCTCTTTGTAAACTGTTTTTGAACACTTGACTGTTGCCACAATTGATACAATTAAATTCATAAAACCCAATTAGGCCAATTGAAAATGTATGTGACCAATCATTAGAAATTTTTGATTTGCAAATTTTTGAGTTAACCTTTGATTGTCTGTCTTTTGCTTTCAGAAATACATCTTTGTCAGCTCTTTTCTCAGGGCTTCCCTTTCTTTATCCATTCATTAGTCCCTGTGTCTTACTCTAAATCCTTCATTAAATTTGCCAAACTTTCATTGGATGTCTCTCTTCTCTTTAGGCTTTCTTCATATAGCCTTGGTGTTGCAAAACTAATATTTTGATCCTGGTATATCTACAGTTGTCGGCCCCATTAATCTTAATTATCTTTTTTTTTTTTTTTCACACCTTTTTACCTTACAAACCCCAGATTGCATCTGTTCTTAACTAGTTTTCACCAAGATGGTCAGACATTTATTAAGGTATTTGATTAGTCTTTCCCTGGTATTTTAAAAACGCAGTTCCTCTATTACAGGTCCTCTGATGACAGTTACAAATAAGATCTCTCAAATGGTACTCACTTTCTGGTTTATAAGCTAGTCAGAACTAGAAAAGTTGAACTCTTTCTCTGTCTCCCTCCTTTCCTTCATCTCACACCCACACAGTCTCACTATCTTTTTGCAGCCCCTCCTCTCTCTGTCAGAGGCAGCCCCTCCTTTCTGCCTCTCTTTCTCAGATCACAGTCACTGTTTACTTGTGCTATATGAGAGGGAAACAAGTGTTCTTTCATAATTTTAGTTTCTCTTTATGAATGAATATCATAAATGAATATCATTATTTTTCAAACAGTCCTAATCTGTTCATTGGACGCGCACACACATACTTTTACTCTTTATTTTTCTTGTAACAATGAATAGACAAAGCCGAATTATTGTTCAGAATAGGCTGTTTTTCTCAGTCCAGATCACAGCTCCTGCAGTCAGAAGAATGGCCAAATAGACGAAAAAGCAAAATTATTAAAAATTTCACTTCATAGTCTCCCCATAATGTTTAATTACTCTTTATGGCATGTTTCTGAATTTAATTGCTCAAATAAATAAATATCAAGTTTCTTCTTTCTTTGTTTAAGATTTTTCTCCCCATCTCCTCTCCTACCCCTTCTATTTGTCCATCATTACATTTTTTTGTTTTTTTTTTTCCATGAATTTCTACCCACTGGTATGGTTGGGGTTGCTTCTCAAAACTAGTCAAAATATCCACCAGTGCTGGTCTGATTTCTCCTCCCTATCTGACTTTAACGATTGTGTAATTTTCCCTCTGTACTGGCCCTGGAATCACTATATGCATGTTCCTCAAAATCCTCAATCCTCAAAATCATAGACCAAGTGTACTACGCATTTCTTTTCAGGTTAAAAAGGTTAAATTTGTTCAGGTTAGGTCTGAGTATTCTGTTTTTTTTTTTTTTTTTTTTTTTTTATTATATATATATATATATATTTTTTTTTTTTTTAATCACATCACGCCAATCCATTAAGGGCCATTCTTGCTCAAGATGATTCAAATTTGTGATCTTTGTCAATTTTTTAAAAAGCTATTTTTTCCGTTGGTCTGTTAACTCCTGTCTCTGCCCTTCGTCATCTATAAACTCATTTTCAAACCAGGAGTGATCCTTAATGACTTTGGTTAGTTTTAATGCCTGTTTAAAGTTGTCTTCGTCCTCTCTTTCTCTCTGTGATCTCTATCCTCTTTCTCATAATGATCTCTCACTCTGGTCCACATGTGTTCTTATCTTCAGGTGTCAAAAGATTAAAAATAAAAAGATATCCCTCCTTAGTTCTTTACCTCAATCCAAACACACTTAGTTATTTAGTTAGTTATTTAGTTCTGTTAGTATATTCATTCACACACCCGGGTTTTCATTCACACACTTTCACCACACTCATTCAACACTTTGATACCTTCTTATCTTTCTGCCTAAGGCTGTGTCTCTCTCTCAGGGTCACAGCGCTCACACTCTAGTGAGTGTCCAAGCAAACAAAGCCAATTTTTTGAATATTCTTTGCCTTCCAATATTTGCTTTTCTGTATTTTTCTTCACTGTCTTGACTTTTGTCTTTCATCTATTTTCCAATTAGCTCATATATATATATTCTACTTCTCTGCAGTTTTTTCTACTCTGTGCACTTTTCCAGCCGGCGCGCTTCTACAGCAGCTGCAGCATAATTCACACACACTTCTCTCCCACACACACTTTTCTCCAGCGCGTGCTCCCTCTTTACACACACACACACACACACTTCTCTCGGCGCGCTCTCACTCTAGCATACATGCAATCTCACAGCACCTCTTGTGAGAATTTACGCATTCATACAAATGAACCTATAGCACCTCTTATAGGTTCTCTCACAGCACCTCTTGTGAGAATTTACGCATTCATACAAATGAACCTATAGCACCTCTTATAGGTTCTCTCACAGCACCTCTTGTGAGAATTTACACATTCATACAAATGAACCTATAGCACCTCTTATAGGTTCTCTCACAGCACCTCTTGTGAGAATTTACGCATTCATACACATGAACCTATAGCACCTCTTATAGGTTCTCTCACAGCACCTCTTGTGAGAATTTACGCATTCATACAAATGAACCTATAGCACCTCTTATAGGTTCTCTCACAGCACCTCTTGTGAGAATTTACACATTCATACAAATGAACCTATAGCACCTCTTATAGGTTCTCTCACAGCACCTCTTGTGAGAATTTACGCATTCATACAAATGAACCTATAGCACCTCTTATAGGTTCTCTCACAGCACCTCTTGTGAGAATTTACACATTCATAAGCATGCGCTTCTTCTTCATTTGACCCAAGATCTCGACTTTTCTTTTCCACTTATTTTTGCCTTACTAAATTTAATCTTTTTAGGTTCGTTTTTCGGCGGGGTTTAATTTATTTAGCATGTATTTAAATATCAAACAATAATTACCAACCAAGGTGACTGCTCTGTCAGGGACCACACGAAACAAATTAAGCAAAAGCTGCTTACCTTGTTTTTGGTCGACCTTTTGTTTCGTGGGGTCACCAGCAGGCGTCGTCACCACGGCCGCTCCCCTCTCGAAGCTCCTGGCTGGCTCGCCAATTATGTTGTGGCAGATTTTAAGTCTCAATTCAAATCATCAAAGTCCGGATCAGGTCCTGAAGAAATTGTGCAGAGTCGAGGTTTTGGGTCTCAGAAAAGCAACTTTATTGAGCAGTTCAACAAAGTGAGATGCCAGCTGGCCATCTGATCTTACAATGGTCTGCACTCATTTCTTATACCTTGTGGTAGCCAATTAGCGCTCAAATTGTTATCTTTTATCTCCTTGCTCCTCCTTATTACTCCTCCCAGATTAAAAACACCTGCATTATCATTTTATTTTTAATTGGGGCAAACTTCCTTGCGCATGCGTATCATTTCTTTTTACACAATGGGCTCCTTGTTTCATTACACTTTTCCCAGTGGCACATTGTTACATTGTATACAATCTGTTTCTCTCCCAGTGCCTCCCAACACCTGCATCTGTGCTACAAGTGTTTTTTGGGTACTTTTCCACTCTCTCGTCCCTGTCCTCATGTGCCCTAAGACCCTAGCTTTTTCTGCTTGGCATTACATCACATGCACGCTTCTTTCACATGCACAGCATGCTTCTTTCACATGTACAGCACTCTTCTTTCACATGTACATAGGACAAGCAGAATTCTCCAACATTTTTCGGGCGAAAAATAAAGTTTCTCCAATCTTCTCAAAACTCTGGATTCTAATAGAGGGCCAAGAGACTTAAACCTGAGTGCAAAAATGGGGGCTCTAGACCCTTCCAGAGCTGAGATATCAAAACTCAAAATTTCGCCCCCCAAAAAAAACGACAGTGGTACCCCTTTCGTTTTTTTTTTCGGGCGAAAAATGATGTTTCTCCAATCTTCTCAAAACTCTGGATTCTAATAGAGGGCCATGAGACTTAAACCTGACTGCAAAAATTGAGGCTCTAGACCCTTCCAGAGCTGAGATATCGAAACTCAAAATTTCGACCCGAAAAAAAAAAAACGACAGTGGTACCCCTTTCGTTTTTTTTTTTTCAGGCGAAAAATGAAGTTTCTCCAATCTTCTCAAAACTCTGGATTCTAATAGAGGGCCATGAGACTTAAACCTGAGTGCAAAAATGGAGGCTCTAGACCCTTCCAGAGCTGAGATATCGAAACTCAAAATTTCGACCCGAAAAAAAAACGACAGTGGTACCTCTTTTGTTTGTTTTTTCAGGCGAAAAATGAAGTTTCTCCAATCCTCTCAAAACTCTGGATTCTGATAGAGGGCCATGAGACTTAAACCTGAGTGCAAAAATGGAGGCTCTAGACCCTTCCAGAGCTAAGATATCGAAACTCAAAATTTCGACCCGAAAAAAAAAACGACAGTGGTACCCCTTTCGTTTTTTTTTTTTTTTCGGGCGAAAAATAAAGTTTCTCCAATCTTCTCAAAACTCTGGATTCTAATAGAGGGCCATGAGACTTAAACCTGAGTGCAAAAATGGAGGCTCTAGACCCTTCCAGAGCTGAGATATCGAAACTCAAAATTTCGACCCGAAAAAAAAAACGACAGTGGTACCCCTTTCGGTTTTTTTTTCAGGCGAAAAATGAAGTTTCTCCCATCCTCTCAAAACTCTGGATTCTGATAGAGGGCCATGAGACTTAAACCTGAGTGCGAAACTGGAGGCTCTAGACCCTTCCAGAGCTAAGATATTGAAACTCAAAATTTCGACCCGAAAAAAAAAAAACGACAGTGGTACCCCTTTCGTTTTTTTTTTCAGGCGAAAAATGAAGTTTCTCCCATCCTCTCAAAACTCTGGATTCTGATAGAGGGCCATGAGACTTAAACCTGAGTGCGAAACTGGAGGCTCTAGACCCTTCCAGAGCTAAGATATTGAAACTCAAAATTTCGACCCGAAAAAAAAACGACAGTGGTACCCCTTTCGTTTTTTTTTTTCAGGCGAAAAGTGAAGTTTCTCCAATCCTCTCAAAACTCTGGATTCTGATAGAGGGCCATGAGACTTAAACCTGAGTGCAAAAATGGAGGCTCTAGAGTCTAGACCAGTGTTTCTCAAACTTTTTCAGCCAAAGGACCACCTAACAAAATCCCACTCTAACACGCCCCCAAAAACAAACAAAAAATGTAAGGATAAGCTAAATTTAAGTTTAAATTTAACTCCTAACTGAGCTTTGACTGATATAGGCTTTTCATTTTTCTGTCAGTGAAGAAAGTAAACATAGGGTCAACTGATATAGGTTGATTTTGCCTATGAATATTTTTTTTTCAGACGCGTTTATTTACTGAAAGCTAAAGCTTGGTAATTAAGTTTATGCATTCACAATATGTATAGGCTACACATTTATTATTGTTTGTATGCCTAATACAGGGCTTTATAATCAAAGAGGTCCTAAATTTGAGGTTGGTAGGGGCTTCACATTTTTTAGTTATCTGATATTTGCATTTTCAAGACGTTTGAAGACCTAAAAAAAGGATATGAAATTGCTTTAAAACCATGTCAGTGGGCAGTAGATTATTTGTCAAAGGAGAGGAGAGCCTCACCTCACCTCTCATCTCACTCTTTCTTTTTTCCTCAGTCTCTTCATCACTTTCTCTTCCCCTCTGAAGACTTAGCTTTGTACTAAAGGCTACAATTTGTATTATATTCTCAATATGTATACATTCATTATTACTCATGTGCCTAAAATGATGAAAACGGCTTTGTTAATGTTTCTTGTCCCCTCACAACAATGACAGTAAACTAATTATTACATTACACGTTACTATTTTTTATACTAATTTTCAGTTCAAAATGGCTATTAGTTTGCCTGATTATTTTTTGTCATTCAACATTTATGTTTAACATTTATGACCTAAAAAATTATGTCAAATATGAAATGTTAAGTTTAGCTACCTGTAATAAATTATTACATATCGCGGGCTTTCGCGCTAATTGCGGAGCAGGCATGCTAGTCAAGTGATCAGCCGCACACATTACAAACTACTAATAAAGTGATAAGAGCAGCTTACAACAGGTAACATCTCATTATCATACAGCTCATTCGTATTAGGCTATGTTAAACAGTGTTTATACTAAAACCGCAAGTGTGTTTTGTGCATTTTGTTTCGCAGTTACCTTCGTCTTCTAGTCTCTTCTCGATAGTTCTTCCTGTTTTTAAATGTTAACGAGAATGTGTCCAATTTGGGCATGGGCGTGGTAGCTTCTGACGTCACACTTGGATGGGGCCGGGTTGGATCTCCACCGCAGGATGCAGCGAGAGGCTTCTCGCACGCGTCGCTCTTAGCGAGAGCAGGTGACTATGGGGACCAAACTAAAATGCGTTGTGTCAGCAGGAAGAGATCTGACTCCGCCCTGACGGTTAAGGTAGGAGACCACGGATATATTGGCTGAGCGGATCAATACGTGGTGGCCCTGAATGCGCGGGAGGAAAAGGCGCGAGCACGTTCTCGACATTTCCAGACAGTTTATGTGGAGGGAGCTCTCTTGAGCTGACCAGGGGCCAAAGGCCGGTGAGCCCTCGCAGACCGCGCCTAACCCGTGTTGGATGCGTCTGGCGAGATGACTTTTCGGCGAGAAAAAAATCCCTAAGGTAATGCCCCGCTGAAACCATTCTGCCTCTGTCCATGGATGCAGAGCTGAGATGTCTGTGTTACTTTGATTAGCTGGCGGCCTGTGGTCCACACACGGTGAGACACACGGCTCTTCAACCAGAGCTGAAGCGGGCGCATGTAGACCCAGCTGGAGCACTGCGGAGGCTGAGGCCATGTAACCCAGTGCCTTCTTAAAAGTCTTCAGAGGCGAGCGCCACATCCATGCACTTGGTGAACGTTACGGGGTGCTAAGGATAGGCCGAACGATAGGACGGTGTATGGCCTGTGACGGGGATTTATCTGTGTAGGGTTGTGGCACTATCACTTTAAATAGCAGTTATATCTGTGGGCGACCCCTGTTAAAAGGAAGTGGTAACGCATCAATAAAGGACAAGTGTTTGCATTTACACGAGCTGTGTGTGTGTATTACTGGACACTCTACAATCTGGATCTGAAAATAGGCGTCTTTCAGATCTAGAGAGATGAACCAGTCCCCCTTGCGCACATGCACGAGGAGTTTCTTGATTGTAATAATGCTTATTAGTAATAAGCATTTTGAACGGTCCCCTCATGAGCGCTTTGTTCAAAAATCTGAGATCTAGGATCGGTCTGAGGCTGCCGTCTTTCTTGGGAACAAGAAAATAACGGCCGTAAAACCCATAGGGTAAAACCTCGACTCGCGTAGAATGCGGAAACTTTGTTATTTCTAAACTAAGCAGGCTGGCTGCTTCTGTATTCCGATGACCATCTTTATGCAAATGAATTCCGTTGAACGCGCCGCGACTATCCAATAGAAGTAGAGCACATGGAGACAGGGAGAAGTCTTTCACTCACAGGTCCTCTGTTCTAGACTTTCTTTTACTGTCTATGGTTCTAGACTGGCCGCTGGCTCAAAAGCACGCCCACAGCGGTAAACTTGAGGAACGCCCATCAAAGTACAAATGTGGCGAGGCGTCACGACAGCACGCCAATGTCGTGTCGTACAAGTGGGTCTCTACCGTGACACTCGAGCGGGCTTGTGTCCGCTTTATGGGAGTGGGCTCTGAGAGAGACACGGGACATGTGGTGCTTTTGTGTATGGGTGAACACAGGATTGTGGGCACATTTTTCTACATAAGAGGCTTTTATGCAGAAGGGGACGCACGCACGAGCTCGTGGGCGTGCTTATGAACTCTGACACTCGAGCGGGCTGTGTCCGCTTTATTTGAGTGGGCTCTGACAGAGACAAGGGGAGTGTGGTGCTTTTGTGTATGGGCGCAGACTGATCTCATGAAGTAGCGCAAGTTATAAATTATATGACTACCTCAACCCTGTCCCTAAACCTAACCGTCACTGGGGTTAATGGCATTTATGACTGGAGATTTGACTGCGTGTACATGGCGTATACATATAGACATATGCTTAACATATACGCATACACGCGGATAGCTCAAAATGCGTACAGATGACACGTCACCAGGCTAGCTCTCTTGTAATGTAAAAAAAACTAGCCACGGTCGGCACAGCTATAATCGGCTCGTCCCTCATACAGCGCGGCGGCAAGCAGCTCGTGAGCGGTGAGAGGGAGCAGCAGCTTCGAATCGAGCACCCATGGTGGACAACGGCCGCCTTTCCGCAGCACAGGTGTGCGAGGCAGCTTTTAAAAGACGCTCGCTACTCTTTTGTAAAATTACACAAACAAAATACAAATGTAAGAAAACATCGCGGTATGGCGTTAGTTCACAGGATGGCTGAAGGTGGCGAAGACGGCCGGCTTCCTCACACTCTGTCCACACCTCGCTAAGAGGTGGCTTCTTGACGGCGACACGGCTTCCTCTCGGAGATCAGCAGGTGTGTAGGGCCTCGCTGTAGCGATGAAAAACGAAAAACAGTGGGAAACTCGACTATTTATACACTCGGGCCACGCCGTTTTGGCGGGCTTTGACGCAATGAGGGCGTGTTAGCTTCTCATTGGCCGCGAGTTCAACCGAGTTCCCTCATAGGCTGTAGCAGTTCTCCCTGAGCGAACCAATGAGCTGCTAGCTAGCCCGCTCATGGTCTGCTCAGTTGAACTGCGTTGACATTGACAATGGATACAAATTATAGGATAATTTTTTGGCTTCAACTTCTTCTCAGACCTTTCAACTTCTAACTTACGCAATACGAGAGAACCTCTCAACATTTCCCAGGAAAGTCACAATACCAGAAGCTACTTTTTGCAAGAAAGAATCTTAACCATTTTAGTCTTTACGCCTAACGGTTCCATTTATAGCTACAATCAAATCTATGGCTTGTAGCCCACCATCTTCACAGACATCTCAATATGGCTTTTTCAGATAATAGGGTTTTCTTTTCCAGATCAACGTTTCAAGTACTGATGGTGTTAGCCGCTTTAAAAAAGGCTGGGTAAATACACCGATCTGGCCAGTAAATCGTTTCTATTTTGGTTTAGTTGTTCTTGTCGCTTTTCTGCAACAGATGAATAAAATCTATTAGTTTTTATATGTTTAATTCATAGATATGTCTAGTTTGTGGGAGTCCCACGAGTGCATTTCCGCCCGCACTTGCAGCCTCCCCCTACTCGCACTCGGTCATCAAATCGTTGGGAGAGCACGTCTCTCTAGATCAAGGGCCCGGCCCAAGGATGTCGGGATATGTGTTTGTTGGAATGTAGAAACAGTCGAGATTTCTGTCTGTTCGAGAAGTCGAGTGGATCTCATGCAGATGACGACTATGTGATCCGCCTTCAACGAGATACACATTGCCTTCAACGCAGAAAACCGAAACCGAAACTTAAACACTTACTGGAACTAACACTCCGATAAGACGCTATTCGTCTCAAACCGTCCCGCAGAGCTCAAGATGGTATCGGATCAATATCCGTGCAAAATTATTTGTGTATTGTGCGAGAAGTCAGACGAAGACGAAATCACCGGACCTCTCTCATCCAAAGAGAAAATCTCTGCACACCAGAACTGTTTAGTAAGTTGTCTTTGTTTTCATGTTGTAAGACGTACAGAAATTTATTAATAATGCTATTCGGTCGGTCATATTTTATGTTTCGGGTTTTCCAAAAAACTGGGTGCGTGCTTGTTTATTCATTGTGTCCTCAGTTGTTTGCATCAGGGATCTACTGTAAGAACTCGCCGACCTATGACGACCTGTTTGGATTTGCAGTAGAAGATGTAATAGAAGAGAGGAGGAGAGGAAAAAAACTAGTGCGTATAACTTACCTGCAAACCAATGCACAAGCACAAATACATTTCCGCTAGCTCTTCAATCTCATAATTGATCTTAACAGGATGACATTTTTCTCAAAACTTTGTGCAACACTTTACATAACACATTGTCTCTACACAAAACATACAAAAATGTCTAATTGCATAGCTTAAAATGATTGTAGTTTGGAGCATTTTATGTTATAGGCCTACCCTAAAAGTAATTAAACATGGACACAATTCTGTACAATACATGTAAGTTGTATTGTTCTGCATATTTTATGCTTTAAAATGTGCTTTGAATTATTTTTTAAAATGTGACCATCATATTCTGGTGTTCTCTGTTGATGCATCATTTTTGTGTCATTATTTTTAGACTTGCCACCACTGCAAGAAACGGGGAGCTACTGCAGGATGTGATCTAAAGCGTTGTAAGCACTCGTACCATTATCCCTGCGCCATTGAGGCCCGTGCCAGAGCCATTGAAAACTATGATGAAGGCACATATAAGTAAGATGAAAGTATGATGTATGTTGTTTTAGATGTTTTCATAATGACAGTGTAGTAAAATTAGATGAACCAATCTTTCCTATTAGACTGTACTGTGAAACACATGATCCAGACCTCAAAGAAACAAGTAAGTGTTTAATTTATTTTTATTTGTATCTGATGCAAATATGTAAGCAGCAAGTTTATTTAGTGAAATACTCATATTTTCTGTTTATTAGGTTTGTATTTTCCGTTTATTTTTGCTTATTAGGTTTAGTAAGTTTGCAAGGGGCCTCAACGTCTGGTCTCTCAGGCTCTAAGAGACGAAGATCGGCAGACAGTCATGGACCAAGGCCTGACAGGGTCAGCACACACACACACACACACACACACACACACACACACACACACACACACACACACACACACACACACACACACACATATTTCCTCTTTATAAACTCACACATTGACTTTTGGCTAATCACATTAATGTCCAACTCAAACCTTCACTGCACAATACTGAAAGATGAGTGACGCATTCATATTGGCTACAATGTGAAAGTCTAGATGTGATTTTTCTTTTTCTTCATTTAATAACAGGGTGAATCTAATTCATCTACAGGGTAAGTGTGCAGTGTGTGTTGCTCCCTATCTGAACTGGTTTAATCACAGAACATTGTCAAATTAATAATCACAATGTGAATACTACTGATGATCTTGTGCTTGCGCTATTTCAGGTCAGAAGCGAGTTTGTCCCGAAAGAAAAATAGTAAGTCACTAGTTTTTTAGAGTCTGGTGTTTGTAATTACAATTTACTAGTACTTAATAACCCAATTCAGTGCAGAGTAGTAGTGTGTTTATTCACAGTTCTTCACATCTGTTTGTTCATCAACATGAGAATAATAATGCGTGTTTGGCATGTTGATGACAGATATTGTAATTTAAATGTATAACATTAATAAAATTGGACTATAATGATGTGTATTTATCTTAGAGGAAGACGTTGATCCCGTGTTTGCTCCAGTAGAGTCAGACGAAGAAGAGTGTACACCTCCAAAACAACACAATGTGAGTTTTCATGATATAATTTGGGTGTTTAATCCGTGTCTGTGTGCATCATGTGAATATCTCTATACACATCATCTTGTATACATTTAATTCAGACTGGATATTCACAACACGTGTTTCCAGCAAAGAAATGGTACAGTGTCTTCTGGAACATTACAGTAGTTGTTAGTAATGCTGTAGTAATTGCTCTCTGTTCTCTTTCAATAGCAGTCAACCCCTGACCCTAAATGTGAAGGGTATGTTGACCTCTATTCACCCATTAATTTACAGAAAGAAATAATTATATGTGATTAGTACTATAGTCATCTATTATACTCACGAATGTCTTGTTTATAAGTTTCTTTAACAAGTTTCTCTGTCTATTTGTAGGCCACGTAAAGAACTGAGTCCATCAGTTACAGGTACAATTGAACACTGTGTGTCTTATGCTTCTACTGTAAAGAAACATAATCTTACTATTTTCAGGAGCTGATTGTTATGATGCTGATATCACAGTGGCTCATCTGTACAGCTGACTTTCTAGTATTAAATGCTTCCATTTGTTTGCTAGGTTCATTAAATAGGGCCTTAACGTCTGATCAGAAGGCTAGTGGATCAGCAAACAATCTAGGAGATTTACATGGCTCGGTCAGCTCTCTCTCTCTCTCTCACACACACACACACACACACACACAAACACACACACACGTTGTTACTGTCTTATGTTACCCAGTCAAATTCACGGTTTTTGTCTGTGCTGGTGTGTCCGTGCTGTTTTCCCTTTCAGTGCCGGTTTTCCTTTCCGGTGCTGGTGTCTGTTTCGGTCCCGGTGTCCGAGCCGGTGTCCGTTTGTGTGTTGGTGTTTGTGTCCTTGTCTGTGCCAGTGACCTTGTCCGTGCAGGTGTCCATGTTTGTGCCTGTGTCCTTGTCTGTGCCGGTGACCTTGTTCGTTCAGGTGCCGGTGTCCGTTCCGATGCTGGTGTCCGTTAAAGTGCTGGTCTGTGCCGATGTCTTTGTCCGTGCCGGTGACCTTGTTCGTGCTGGTGTCTGTGTTGGTGTCTGTGCCGGTGTCCGTGCCTGTTTCCTTGTCCATCCCAGTGTCCATGTCCATACTGGTATCCGTGCTGGTGTCCTGGTCGTGTCCATGTCGGTGTCCGTGTCCATGCCTGTGCTGGTGTCCGTGCCGACACTACAAAAAATGTGAATTTGTTTGGGTTACTTGAGTCACAAATAGACAAACTCACCTGATTAACATAAATGTATTGCTTATTATTTTCTGTCTTTTTTTTTTTTTAATAACAGAGCGTATCTTATTCACAAACATGGTAAGTAGTATAAACTTTTAATTACAGAATAATGTCCAGTTAGTAATCACCGAGTTGTTGTGATCTTCTGTTTGGTTTCTTTTAGGTTACCAGAAGTGGAAACACCCAGAAGGAAAAAGATAAAATTCCTTCAATATTTAGGTGTTTAATGTTTATTTTGTTTTATTTCTCTGTGTTGTTCAAAACGAGAATATGAATTATAGATATTTATTGGCCTGAATAAAGAAGTTATTAACATCATAACAATTTAAATAATATCTGGCTATTTTAGATGATGATGAAAGTCCCAACGACACTGACCCTGTAGCAGTTCCTGTAGTGATCGATCTGGAGAAGCCCAATGTGAGTCTTGAATCTTAAAATCTCACTGTATTTATTTGTATATGTACTCTGTATATGTACTGTATATGTACTCTATTTACGCTCACTGTTTAATGCGTCTATATGCACCGTTTCATATTAAACTTTACTGCTAGTCCAGTTTAAAAAGACTGTTCATCCCTATTTTGTTCAAATCCTGTATGACTGGACCCCATTGACTTTTGTTATGAGTGGACCACAATATGTTAAAAGCGTTATATAAATGAAGGTGACTTGATTTTTAATATGGACAAAAAAGTTCTTCTTTTGTTCAAGAGATGAAAGTCATATAGAATTTTTGGGTGAACAATCCCTTTAAGATATTATTTGCATCACACCATGATGAGTGTATATGAATCAGTTTCAGTATCAATAACATTGTAGCAAAAGTGTTTTCTCTGTTCACTTTAAATAGCAGTCCCCTCCTGTGCCTGAAAAACCTCCAAAGAATCACTTTGTCTGCAGGCCCTGTGAAAAACTCAACCCATCAACCACAGGTACAACTGTGTATGTTTTTAATTAAAATTATTATTTATCATTCCTTATTGTAAAGAAACATCTCTTTTTTTTCAGGAGCGGATGACAGTGACACTGACATTGACTCGGTGAGTCCATCTTAACAGAATACATCATACTCGCATCACACTGTAAACAAGTCTGCATTTTGCATTTGTATTTTCTGATATTTTCACGTCCAACACATGTCAAGAAAGCTTCAAGGCTTGAGGAAAATATATAAATTAAGCCCAGTTTCCCCAAACCGAAAAAAAAAAAAAATAAAAAAAAAAATATATATATATATATATATAATTAATGTTTCTCTGTGAAATGAAAAGCTCAGAACAATAACTACCAAACTTTAAACATACATACAATAATACCATATCAAATGTAGCATGTTCGATATGGCAAATCCATCACACTGCAGTACAGTTATATTACTGTTCAGAAGTTTGGGGTTGGTAAGATTGTTTGAATATTTTTGAAGCAAGTCTCTTATGCCTCTTATTAACCTCTTGGCTGCATTTATTTGATCAAAATATCATTATTGTAAAATATTATTAGAAAATAAAGCAAGTTATTTATTAGTTTTTTGGGCCTTAAAGGAGTAGTTCACTTTTAAAAAAACTTTTGCTGATTATTTACTCACCCCCATGTCATCCAAGATGTCCACCTCTTTCTTTCTTCAGTCGAAAAGAAATGAATGTTTTTGATGAAAACATTCCAGGATTTTTTTCCTGGACTTCATTGGGAACCAAACAGTTCAAGGTCCAAATGAGAGTTTCATTGCAGCTTCAAAGGGCTTTAAACGACACCAGACAATGAATAAGGTTCTTAGGAAATGGAAATGTCAACCAAGTCTGATATTGCCAGTGGGAGTTCTAAAAGCTTATTTTTGCCAGAACAGAAGATTTGAGTTATAGGTATTTTAAAAATTAATTTCTCCCAATGCCAAACTCCTGGGCCAATTGCGGAAATGTTGTTAATGTGTTAGATTTTAAAACATGATTAATGTGGGTGAAACCCCTTTCAGCCTATGTACGAAAATTCAGTGTTTTTTATTTTTTATTATTTATTTTTATTTATTTATTATGAAGTCACGGTTGTTCCACAGTGGGGTGAGGTTAGATGGAGCTAATGTAGAATTTGTGATTTGGTGAAATTTCCACCAGGCTGTCAGAGTGCCAGCTATAGTTACTGCATTAAAACGTGTGTTGTTTGATTGATTTGGTGAGGAATGGTCTGTCAGCTATATTTAATTCTTTGCATAGTGATTGTTCAATATCTAGCCATATAATATTGGATTGGGTGGGGTGCATCCATTTGTATATGTAATGTAGTTGGTTAGCCAAAATTTGGTGCTTTTAATCCTACTTGATCCTTGTTTTTTTGTAGTGTAGTGAGTTTTATCCTTGGCATTTTATTTTTTTCTATTAGAAGTGAGTGGTAATGGAGTCTTTAAACCAGGTAAGTGTGGGGTGGGTTGGAATCATTGAGAATAGATAATTAATTTTTGGTAGAAGCGTCATTTTTATTGCTGCTATCCTCCAAATTATGTAGATTGGAAGGTTGAGCCATCAAAGCAAATCGTCTTCTATTTTTTTAGTAGTGGTGTGAAGTTGAGTTTTACCAACTCTGACAGTTTGGAGGAAATCTTAATGCCTAAGTAAGTGATGTGATCATGACATATAGGTATAGGTGATTGGTGGGGTGCCACATCCCATTTGGTTTTATGTAAAGGGAGGATGGAAGATTTATTCCAGTTTATTGCATGATCTGATATTTTTGAGAAGGACTGGATTGTTTTAATTATTTCTTGAGTAGATGTATAAATAGTAGAATATCATCTGCATAAAGTGAGATTGTATGTGTTTGTTGTGGTGTTTCAATAACTCTGATTGCTGGGTTTTGGCGGATAGCTGCTGCTAAGGGTTCAATAAAAATAGTGAATAGGGATGGTGAGAGCGGACATACCTGCCTCGTCCCCTTGGATAGTGTTTATAAATAACTATTTGCTATTAATTGTAATGTAATCCTTTGTATTTTGAGCAGCCATTACTCAAGTCTTCCAGTGTCACACTTTCAGAGATTATACTAATATGCTGCTGATTGGGTGCTTAATAAACAAGTGTCAAACACGTATGCTGCTGAATATTTTGGTATAAACCCTAATAGATTTTTTCAGGATTTTAGGAATAGAATGTTCAAATGTTCAAGAATATAGAAATCATGTTGTTTTTACTGTCACTTTTGATCAATTTAAACAAATCCTTGCTGAATCAAAGTATTACTTTCTTTAAAAATATATCTTACTGATCACAAACTTATGAACAGTGTATCACACTCGACTACTATACTTAGTCATTCTTAACTAACCTCCATTAGTTAACAGTGTGTGATTGCTTACAGTCTCTCTCTCTCTCTCTCTCTCAGGAAGATTCTCAGAGTTTGTTACCATCAAAAATGAATCACACCACTGTTCCATTTACCATTATTATAGACTCGGGACCCTCAGCAGAATCAGGTGTGTTTATCTCTCTTCTGTTTTTCTTGCTGCTGTCATTTCAATGAAGTGAGAATCTGTGTGGCAATAGATTCTCTCTGTATTTCAGAGTACAGTCTAGAACTTGGTTCACCTGCCCCAGAGGCTGTTTGCTCCTCACCTGGGTTTGTCGCAGCCCCTGAACATGAGGAAACACCATCCACAATTAGAACCTCTCAGGTGCCCAAAGCTCCAACTGACACAGTTTCACCAGGTATTGCTACGCCAGAACAGCACCATGACAGCAAAGGTCAGCCAGGGTCATCTCGGCATTCAAGGCCAGACTTCAACATTGAGGATCTACCAGAACCTTCTCCGGCTGGGGTGTCTACATTACTAGATCGAGCCACTACGTCAGATGCTTGTGATGTAAACGGCACAAGAAGCACTCAGTCCAATGCGGTCATATTCTGGACTAGATGCAATCAGGCCGGGTGGACTGAAAAAATCTTCTCAGAGCTTGTCTCTCAGCTGGAAAGCTTAGGAGAAAGAGTACATTCACAGGAAGCCAGCCACCAGGGTGAGAAGAGCATGATTCAGACCGGTTTTGTGGAATATTGTGAGCAACTGGTTAAAATGAAGACAACTTTACAGCTCAATTAATAAACAAGTTTTAACAGAAGAATTAAATGCTTTTATAAAATTTTAAGCTCCATATATTTGCTTTGAAAATTCACTTCCAGGTTTCTCATCTTGATGGTTTATTTTGTTGTTGTTGTTGTTGTTGTTGTTTTTAGAAAAGGAGGGATAGTTCAAATTTGTGTGTTCAACATTATGTCACAAATGCAGTCAACTCTGCTTGAACCTGAGTTGAGAGAACAACTGAAAGGCTGATGGCTTTTAAATGTTTCACAGACTATGATGTTGCTCTCAAACTACTGGAGGTATCTGGACGTCTACCTTGCATTATTACTCAGCTGGAACAAGGTACAGCATTTCATTCCTAATCACTTAAATCTAAAGTTTTATATTATTGAAACCGTGTAATAGCAAGTTTGAATGTAATTATAATCTCATTGAGTGCCTTGTAATGAATCATTCATTATAAAAGAAAATTATTGTGGGGACTCAAATAGCATTGCTTCATGAGATGGCATTATCTTTTGTTTTTCCAGACTTGGAGGAGCAGGAACGGGATTTGCAGAGGAAAAAAGCAGCACTGAGGGATGCCAGAGCTGCACTGGGTTTAATATAATAATATAATCTACTCTATAGTAGTATTAATATCTTTTTCAGTTGTTGTTTTTTAGGCCTACTTTTATATGATATGATATAATACAACAAAGCTGCTCCAAGCAGTCAGTCCTTTTATACCTTTTTTAAGTGATGTCACTGTTCATACAGTATGTGTACAAAAATCTAATCTTTGGTTTAGTTGGTTTTTAAATGTTTACATCGATGGAATAAATCTCATGAAACATACCTGATATATCATTTTCTACAATTTTCTCATGTTATCGCTTTTTGGCGAAATTCAATGTTTTGAATTAGAATATTTAATATGTGAATTTGTTCGTTTTTTTTTTTTGCAAGAACAATAAACCACAAGAATTGAAAATGAGCTAATTTACTGTAACTTAATGTTAAGCAAATCAAAAGCAAATTGTCAATTCCCTGTCTGTCAATTAAAAAAAAATGTATTACTCAAAGTAAATTATGTCTTTTCCCATTATTTTGTTGTCAGAGTGCACAAGAATGCTTTGTTTAAATGTTAAAATCACACAAATGTGAGTTTGCAAGTCTGTAAATAAACAAAGCTGGTGCATACAGTAAGCTGAGGTGGACTAAGTACACAACCTCCTTACTTGATTGAAAGTACAGATACTACTGGTCAAATATTACTTTGTTACAAGTAAAAGTACACAAGTACTCATTTATAAAAGTATTAAGTATCAACAAGTAAATGTCAATGCATTGTATGTAATACTTACAGTACCTTATTCCTCTGAATCTATGCCTGCCTGCCTACCTACCCTCATATCAATATCAAATTTAATTAAATTTAATAACAAATTTTAATATCAATCAAGTTTTGGTAGTGAGACTTAACCTGCTCATTTTTAGCTTTATAAGAGGAAAGACCTGTCTGGGAAAGACCCTTCATTCCCAAATATCCATTGACACTAGGTGGCAGCAAACACTCAAAAGCTTTAAAAGGCTTACCATTATAATATTAAAGCTCATTGATCTTTCAAGAGCATTTTGCCAGTTTAGTCCAAACTTTGTTTAAACGGTGTTTTAGCTAATTAACTTAAATATTTTGGTCTAAAAATAATACTTGTGTAAAAAACAGCACATATACTGTATATGCGTATGTATATTCAAATATGAACAGTTCAATCACGAGATTAGTAGTTTGTGTAAAATGTTATGTTAATATAATGTAATGTGTTATCTATTCATATGCTATCTCTAGTTTTACTATTTTTTTTAACCATCAAAGCAGTACACACTTAAAAATAGTAGAATGAAAGATGCTTTTTTTTTTTTTGTCTTTTTCAAAATATTCAAGGAACCACCTCCTGTCATTACTAATATGTCTAGCCCAGCTGAGAACTCAAGACAATAGGAACAATAAAAAGTGTCTGCTCTGGGGGGTTTACAAAGAGTTACTCACTCATCCCTAGGTATAATATTTCTGGATGATGCTAAATGGTAGTGTGGCACGAGTAGAACATTAGCAAAATCAAGGGACTACTTTTTATTATACACACACAAACACATAATGTTACAACTAACCCACATCATTCCTGCAGTTAACAATGAAAGCTCTAGAGACGCATTTTCAATTTTAGCTAAATAGAACACTTTATTTTTGCAGACGTGCTTGGTACGTTGTCGACATTTCAAATGGTCATAGGTGACTGTCCTCATTTCACACTATGACACAGACACAGAATATAAATACAGCACTTGTGGAATGTATCATAAGACACAGTGTACAGAGAAAATTCAAGCTTTGTTTGGGACCAAAAAAAAAAAAAAAAAAGATTACTACAGGACACAACGTTTCCAGAGAACTTTTTTCTGAAAAGCACATTGCCTTTCTGTAACTGCATGGCTATTTTGTTCACGTTCATTATTTGAATAAAATCAATGTGTGATTAAGAGTGGTTTAGTGTTATGGGTAGATAACATTCTCTGGCAGAATAACATTTTTCATTTGTTAATATTTGTAATTAATGTTGCTGTAAATATGTGAATAACTGGGGTCAAGCGCAATATCAGTGGAGGGAAATACATCCGAGACAAAAATAAATGATTTTTTTTGGGATGAATCTTCAGTCTAACACATTTGAAGGGTTTTGGTAAGATATATGCTAATGCATCAAAACTGGCCATGTTAAACAGATTCATGCTAGTCTTAAACATTGTAGATATTATTTATCACTCTGGAGCCTGCCCAGCCAAAGTCACTTATTTAACATTAAGTGCAATAGAGATCATAGAGGTAAAGTGATAAAATACACTGTGGATAATATGGAAAATTGCTATTGTTAGCAATCTATCAATATGAATAAAACACACACACGCCTGGTTCAGATGAAAGGCAAATGACAGTAACAGACACGTCAAAAACCTATCGAACTGTTTCTGATCATATATTTTAACACGAGAGGTTTGCTTTGATTTTCAACCACACATAACTAGTGCAATTACAATTGATTCATTCAAGAAAGCTGATATGTGTAGAAAGAGAAAGTCAACAATAATTTATACATAAATCAAATCAAATAAACATACAAAAGAAGAAAAAAAAGTGATCAGCTGCTAATTCATTTGCATTGTCATGAAATAAAAGTATAAGCTCAGTTTATCAATATCGCCCACTAAATAAAGTAGATATCAGTAAGTGTCTTCAGTGCTTATGTAAAGTGTTGTAGATTCGCTCTCATTTGTATACAATCTCTCTCTCACACTCACACACACACACACACACACACACACACACACACACACACACACACACACACACACACACACACAGAAATAAAGCCTGGTTTGACTTCCAAATGGACAGGAGCAGCAGTAGTAACAGCAAAGGCAGAAGCAACACTGAAAGAGAACATAAGCACGTACTGCCACACACAGTTCAACTTCACACTATGTGTGTCTGCACACGTAGCTGACGATTCAAAAGATCTGCTGTTCAAACAGAATCTTTTCAAAGCCTTCAGGTGGAGTATGGTAGAAATCACTGAACTGGCAGTCTATGATGGCACTGTCATCCACTGAGAGAGAACAGATTACAAACATCAATTTGATGTTAGTTCATCATATTAATGGCAAATAACATTTCACGACAGCTCGTCTCTGCAAACTGTAGATCATAAATCAGGAAAAATCTATTTTTATCCTCCCTTGAAAACTTCCACTGAAAGATACAGCAAATTAACAGCACATTATGTTTGTTTGAAATGCATTATTAATAATTTTTGTTTTATATGTTCCTTAAATAATCAAGAGCAATTCAGACATTATGAAAACTTTTTTTTTTTACCTTAAAGAGATCATTCACCCCAAAAAGGTTGTCATCATTACTCAGCCCTAATGTTGTTCTAAACCTGCATTACTTTCTTCTGCAGAAAAGATGATGTTTTGAAGATCATTGGGAACCAAATATTGGAGCTCATTGACTTTTGTGCTCCACAGAAGAGTCTTTGGAAAGATTTGGAAAGACGTGAAGGTGAGTAAAAGATGACATCCCATTAATTTGCACAATAGGAAAACAGAAAAGGGACACTGATAGGAAAATGCTAAATTGCAGCACTCTGGAGTTTTTCAATTTAAAGGGTTAATTACATTTTTGGAAAAGGCATTGCTTTTTGCTTTGGGATGTTATTTCTTTGGCTGGACTAGCCTGAAAACTAGTTTTTAGCATGACTTTAACTAAAGAAATAAATATTATCAAAAGTAAGATTTCATCAAAAAGTTGAAAAGTATTATATACAAAATAATGCAAATATAGAAATATTATTTAATTTATATGTAAGATTTCAACTTCAGTATTATTACTGAAATGTAATCTTGGCATTTCAGTGGCTGTTACCAAGATGGATGGGTGGGTGGTTGATTGGTGTTTTAACCCAATCGTGGCTTCCTTGGCAATGTTAAAATAGTTTTAAAACTTAAAAAAAAAAAAAAAAAAAAACTTTAATAAAGCAATAAAAGGTTTGTTGTTGTTGTTTTTTTTTTTTTTTTTTTTTTTTTTGCCTGAAAGGTTTTTTGTAAAAATGGCTTAAGATAAAAACCATAAAATGAATTCAGGGTTGACCATGTTAAACATAAATTGAGTAACATTGAGTAATCGGAGTAAAATATTTCCTAAGAGAACTCAAATCAGAATAATTGAATAAAATAAGAGATTGGACCACAGCTATGCTTCTTAATAAAAAAAATTAAAATAGATAGATTTTCACTTGATATAAAGAACGTGTATGTTTGATTATTGAATAACCTATTTGGCTTTGTGTATAAATGAACTGATCCCAGAAAATGTAAAGAATAAAGATGCTTTTACCCACAGTAGGGTTAAAAGTTTGTTGTTTGTACACTGATACCATTCATTTTGACATTTGTTGATGACATAAGACACTATGGCAGTTTTAAAATCTGAGGGTGGTAGGTGACATCTGTCAATCCCTTACTAAAATGGCCACCAAATAAATCAACTTGCTCCAATAATGACCATGAAAGAAAACTCCTATACATAAAAAATGGATGTCCTGTATCTGTCATTGATAAAGAAACAATACACAACTCACCATAAACTATGGGGAACACAGTCCCTCGAATACCTGAGGCTGGACAGTGCATGCTCTTTCCATTTAAGTACAGGTTCAGTTCCACATGATCATAGGTCAGGCCCTAAAAACAGACATACATACTTAAGACCACGAGCAAAATGTCTTCTACAACATATACTAGTAGTATTCCACAATTTTTTCCAAGCTATTTATCACAATCTAGAATGTAACCAACACTCAAAGAAGTAAAAATGTACCACTATATCCCCCTCCTGAGGCAGGCTGTTGGCAGGTAAACGGTTCTTCTCCTCGTTGTTGTGGTATATGGAGCCATCATGTCTAAGTACCAAACTGTGGCTGTCTTGACCCAGTGGCACCTGGTTCAAATTCACCTTCTGAGTGGCCACACCGATTCCCCAAACACCTGCATCGCAAACATCAGCGAAAGTTCATAGCCCAGAGATATCTAAAGCTATTCATTCCAATAAAGACCAATAATACAAAGATTTTGGAGGTAAAATTGAACTAAAATGAATGTCACAATGCAAAACAAATCTAAGGGTCCCAATAATAGGTTATTTTTTTATATGTGAATAATACATCTTGTATCTTTACGTGGATATGCGTTTCTTTTGAATTTGGCGACATTTTTGGTGGTATTACGTTAACTTTTAAGGTGAAATCTTGCTCACTTATAAAGCTAAACAACTTTTTGGGTCAGAATCCATTTCATAGCTACACAACAACATTCCACCTTACATCTGTCTGACAGCCACAAGTTGCAATCCACAAGCTACAGTGCTTGCACAATAATTAGCTAAATATTAAAAACAGGACTATCTGAATCATGATTGAACATGATTCATTTCTGACAAAAGGGCACTCACCTGTGGACTGGATCTTGAACTCAAAATAGCTCTTGTTCTGGTGTAGAGGGGCGTTGGCGAGGCAGGCTCCAGTTCCACAGATCCGCCTCCCACTTTTCACTATGACCACATCCGTCCCTGGGAAAAAAAGGCCGAGCAAACTCTCATGCCCACACTGCTACAGCGCAAGGTATGTATTTCAAAACGTTTTCAGGGATATCGGCAAAAACGAGTCTGAATTGAACCTCACTTTCTGGATTGACTCAATAGAAGTAATCAAATTAGATACTGGATGTGGCAGCTGTATACTAGCAACTAGCATTTGATCCAGAGTAGGTTGGACTAACTTGACATGATTGATTAGATTTTATTGCATAGTAAACATACTGTTTGTTAAAAAACAATGATGGCAATAGTTATTTTGTGGTCTAGCATAACTATATCTGTTAAAACATAGCATTATCTGTTAGCTTGACACCTCTCTTCGTGTTAAAATTAATTTGGCGAATTTTGTGACCCTGCTCAGCAGTGGAAATGACCTCTTACCCATGTGATGCGTGTCTAGCTGTACGGTGGGCATATCTTTGAGGGGAGCGTGACCCGGTCCGCCATCCCCGCAGCAGCCCAAACAACATGTAAAAACTGCAGCCATTCTAGCAGTGAGATCGCCGGAAGTGCAGTTACACACGTCAAACTGAAGAGCGCACGAGCTCTCAAGATAGAATGGATCTCATGGAAAAATCATTGTCCACAATAAAATGCCCCATCCTGATCAGAGCAGAGAAAAGTATCAGATAGCTCGTGACGCTTTACCGTTGGTCTGGAAAATAATTTGCATCCAAATGATCACATTGAGAAACACTATAATAGCCTTTGAATGGAAATACACACTGAGGCAAATTGGAGAATTAGTATTTTGACCGCTAAACTCCACCAGATTAAATCCCACATTCTACCAAGAGTTAGAGAATACTTAATTCGTTATAATAGGTAAATTTTGTTTGTGTGATAGGTATCACAATCAAGGGAATGTGCTTAAAGTTCAAAACCAAAACAGCCAGAACAGCTTTGAAAACAGCCATATCATATTATTGAAATTGATAGGGATGAATTGTTTGCTTTTTTTAAGTGTATGTGCCCCCCTTGTGGATTTTTGTTTATTTTATTACCGAATTAATATAAAATACATTAAAACAATTAAAAAACCTTTCTAGCGTTATCATCCTATTTCTTTGACAAACCTGCGGTTCTCTGAGACTCTCGCCCTCTCGTGGTCAATTACGTCACTGCACGCGCTCTCATCCTTGATTCGACCAATGAGCGCTGCGCCTCGGACGCCGTTCTCTTCCTGATGGCATGGAAACAGGGGAAGAAAAATCGAGGTCAAAATATTTTGACACGTGACTCGGTAGCGATTGGTTATCGATGCGTCAAGACCCTGACACATGGCACGGGCATATGCGACCAAAGTGGCGTACATAATCACCCTTTTGTGCTTTTTGGTCGTTTGTTTCTGTAAACCATGACTAGTTGTTGTAGCCGAAATGAAAGCCACGTAGTTATTGTAGCCTAGTTCACTGAAAAGATGAATTATGCGTCTATGCGGGTAGATAAAGGGGAACGCAAGTATTGACGTAATCAGTAAAGAAACGCTGATCTAGGAGAGAGTAAGCGCTCCCCCGCAACAACGCCATCCAGCAATGAAGGGATCCTCTGCATTTATTTCTCACCGCACAAAACGTGTGTTCATCTACCCGAGTCGGTAAATACAGTGCCACGCGGATATTATGCTGAATGTGGCATTGAAATTTACTATCTTTAGATTCACTGTTCAATAGCTGTCTGTGCGCATTAGTTTTAATTGCCTGGCCATACTGACTTGACCTGAACTAGTTAAAATTTCCCAATTGGAAAGGGCTAAGTCTGCACAGCAACAAGAGCCATGATTGCGTTGCACACTGCCTATGCAGCTAGTGCACTTCTGATCCAATTGCTGGTGCTTTCTGCCTGCAAAATCTGCCTCAACGACAGTAATACCTTGACAACCGGACCCGGGCATACCGAGAAACATTTTGACAAATCAACGACTGGGATATATATATATATATATTTTTTTTTTCCCAAAATTAATTCCTTGAAGTTTGTTGGACAGGTCGTCGGATATTCCTGCACGAAAGTTCTCACGCGGGCAATTAAAATGAAGTACTGGTGCACTCAGAAGACTTCATCATCAGGCAATCTGAACTACTATATTTGGTTAACCTGCTGTGCCTCTTCACTGAATCGCACTGTAAAATATTGACTGAATTCCATTAATCGATGTAGACTCATAACGCATTCTCGCAATATAAAAACATTTTTCGATGCATAAAAAAATTGCCTAGGCTACTTGTTTGTGAATGTCTTTGCTTATTGCGCGTAATGTAGATAGTGTCAAAAATGACACTGACAGCACTAAGTGCTCTCACACAGTCTGTGTGAGACGCACGAGAGAGAAGCTTGCCATGATGAGAGTTGTATTGATGTGTCATGCCCCCGTCCAGCTTTCATATTGATGTCTCCTTCCTCTTTAGGATACGATGGAGCTCTTAGAAGAGGACCTCACATGTCCAATATGCTGCTGTCTTTTCGAGGACCCGCGTGTTCTACCATGCTCTCACAGCTTCTGCAAGAAGTGTCTCGAGGGCATCCTGGACGGAAACCGGAGCCCTGCATGGAGACCCCCGTTCAAATGCCCGACCTGTCGAAAGGAAACCGTGCACAACGGCATCGCGAGCTTGCAAGTTAATTATTCGTTGCGTGGCATCGTGGAGAAGTACAACAGGATTCGAGTGATGCCGAGGATGTCTCTCTGTCGAGCTCACAGCGGACAACCGCTCAATATCTTCTGCGCCACGGATCTTAAGCTGATCTGTGGTTTTTGCGCCACGACAGGTGACCATAAAGGACACAAGTTTTGCGCGCTGGAGGAGGCGTACGAACGCGAGAAGCTCGCGTTTGAGGACTTGTTTCGCGTTGTGGAGGGCTGGAGGGGTGCGGAGGTGCATTCGTGCTTGGAATCGTTAGAGGGAGCTAAGAAGAAAGCGCTGGAGAGGGTCTCGCGTGATGCGGATCGAGTCTCAGAGTACTTCGACAAACTTCTGCGCACGCTGGACCACAAACGAAGCGAGATTCTCTCGGACTTGGAGACTCTGAAGCTCGCGGTCATGCAGACCTTTGACCCCGAGATCAACCAGCTGCGCTCGGCGCTCGAGGAGCAGCGGCGCGCGCTCAACATCGCCGAATCCTTCCGTTCGCTCTCCGACCCGCTCACTTTCCTCCAGCAGATGCAGGACTTCAGAGAAAAGCTGCGCGTTATTAGGGGAACGCCACTGCCATCGCGGACTGACGTTGACGTGGGTTTGCTTGGCCTACAGAGCTTCGATGTCAAGGAATGGGACCGGGTGCGTCTTGGAGAAGTGGACAAGCTGTGCGCCCCCTACGAGAGCAGCGCGTACCTGTCTTCGCTGCCCCCTGCTGCCGCTCCGCGCTTCTCCCGTGTGATGTGGAGAGTTGTTCTGGTTATATGTGCGTGTCTCCCTGCGCTGAACTTTCTCCCATCAGACTGCCTCGCTTTGAGCTTCCAGGATAAGGTGGTCGCGCTCAGTGGCTTTTCTCTGCCCGGTCCCGGAGAGATCGTGCGCTGGCTCGGGTTCTGCTGGACAGAAGCGGCTGAGATCTGCACACTAATAACTCAGATGTGTCGGAACTGTATCTTGGACCTGATAAACACGACATCTGATTTCATCAGCTGATTTTATAACTCCATTTCTTAGGTACTTTTTTATGTAGGCTACTATATGTGCCAATCCCGTAGGTTTGAAGCATTGGATAAATTTAGTTCGTGTCTGTTTTTGAATTTGTAACAAAACATAATTGTGCTATAAAATTGCACTGATTGTGTCTGTTGGTTTTAAATGGAAAAACAAGTGTGGATGGATCGTTGTATAGGCTAACAACATTCTCAAATCTTAAATAATAATTAAAAAAAATCCCTATTCACTTAATTTCTGAATAGGTCACCTCCACAAGTTCATCTCGAATACAAGCAGACAGCTTGATTGAATAAAATACCGTTTTGGAAGTTAACTAAAGAAGAGGAACGCTTATTCCGAAAGTGCATTGAAATATTTTATCTCCTCCGTGCGAGTTATTTACATACTCAAGGTTAAACGTTACGTAACAATGCCAGACTCATACAGGATTCATTTATAATGTTTACTTAGAATGAACTTGTATCCTGCTAGGCTATATGTTTGTTTTAACTTTATTCAAAGACCAAATCTCATCAATATCTTTAATGTTTACAATTTCATCCAAGAGAGACATGAGATGTGCAAAATTTAACAGAGTCAGGACTGTTGCGATTTTTTTTTTTTTTTTGAAGGCATCCCCTTTTCCCACCGTTTAAGCAGGAATCCTGAGATTCTAGGACAACTGTTCTGATATGACGTCACCGCTGGAGCCCTTCGCACGTCACCGAACATATATTTAGCCGACTGTTGCCAGGCGAATTGGGGATGAAACGTGAAATTACCTACTTTACCAAATACAACCTTACATACCTAAAAGTAGCCTAAATTAAATAACGAATTTATGATAGATATACAGCTACATTTTCTGAAGCCATGCAGAATCCATTGCCGACAATATGAAGCTCACTCTGAAATGGCGCCATGTGTTATATAATTTACTATTCGATTTTCTTTCTTTCTTTTTTTTTCCAATGGAACTATTGTGTCTTAATAATGACACCATCTTCACTATCGCATAGCCTACCTTGCACCAGTAACTTCAATAGGCTATTATTTTAAGGAAAAAAAAGGCATCAACACAAGTGCCATTTCTTTTTGCTTTAAACCGTGTTTTGCTGTGTTTAATGTTTCTAATGATTCAATTGTTAATTTCGGTCAATACTCGCCTCTTTTAAGAACTGAAAAATACTTTGCATCTTGTTGTTTTTCTTTGTAAAGTTGAAAATTGTATATAGCTATCCAAATAAATTTCACGTCACATAGCCTATACTATTTAGTTCTAGCATTATGCTTATTTTTGCTTATTTAAATGTTGTCAAATAAAATGAATGGCAAAGCCTACGTCGGCAATTTCTAGGCTATTTGAAGCCTAACTGGTAGGCTATAGCAAAATTATATATATATATATATATATATATATATATATATATATATATATATATATATATATATATATATAGGCTATTAGTTGTACTTTATTTGCAGCAAGTAGCCTAACTTACGAACATGATACGTCTCTGTTTACAAAAACACATGAAATACACCAGATGCACGAATTAATATATTTCACCCTTTAAATGTCATCATGAAATAAAGCAACCTTGCATGATGATTTTTTTTTTTTTTTTTTTTTTTTTTGCATGATACAGAAACAGGGAACATCACCATATAGGCTATAGTTAGTTATGTCTCACAACTCCAGGCAAAAGTGGCATGGTTGTCGGGTAAGCAACATAATAAAATACATGCTGTTTTTTTTTTAATTTAAATTCCACATTTTGATTAAAAAAAATCCTGCATCTGACATTTAATGAACTCCAAAGGACCGTAATAGAATTTGAAACTTCAGTTATCCATTTGTCTGTAGAATTTAAGCGTGACGATCTGCAGCTGTGTGCACAGAAAACTTCGAGCTGTAAAATTATTTATCTGGACCAAGACGCTCCGACATAAACAAACTCACAAAGGCTACTTGAAAAATAGACGGACGTCTCCCTTGGTCCTTCTAAACACACAATCACGAGATAACGCTTTTACATTCTTATTTTCCCAGGGTGACCAGTAATCTATTCAAGTCGGGTAAAATCAGTCTAATCTCAATTAAAATTAAGCAAAAACAAAAAACAAAAAAACAAACAAAAAAAAACGCATGTGTAGCCTAGTCTATTCTTTGCCTGAGAAATTAAATAAAAGATCCAAATTAAATCTAATTTCTAACGGGCATGTTATGAGAACATCTTTTAAGAGGACTTCTCCGTGCATTAAACATAGGACTAAATAATAAGTAAAAATAAATAAGTATAGGCCTAGGCTACACGCAAAAAAAAAAACGCATATAGGAAAGTTGGATTTGATTCAAAAACGTAGAAATTTCATAGACGTCGCTTACAAATCCGTCCTCAAATCAAATCGTGATTTGTTCAATAGAAATAATAATAATAATAATCAAGACAATTAGGTCCTATAGGGAGCTGCATCGGATGCACATTGAAAAATAAATAATAAAACCTTTCCCATTAAATTGTTAAAATTTGTTTTGCCAAAGCCAATAGATTAAAATCAGCTCTATGAAACTGTGCACTGTTCCTATTATCACAGCTGTGCTGACCATCTAGTTCAGATCTAAAAGCATCATATGACTAAAACGAAGCGTCAGAAGATTAAATCGACATGTGTCAGAAGTGGCCGTGTTACAAGTTAAAGGCAACAAGGGTTTAAGTGCTGGTCAATTAAACAAAAATAAAATAAAACGTAATTTCTTTATTGTCAAGGATACAAGATGTGATAAAATCAGAGGAAAACGCAGCATTCTGACATCAAAAAAGACGCATTGCTGCGTAAAAGGATCCCTTATAAATCTCCCAAAAGGTATAGCCTACTTTCACCCAGGCAAAATAATTAGTAAATAAATGATCATCAACCAAAATACAAAGATATGGCAGGTAAAAGATGAAATCGTGGTTACATAATTTAGCCTGCTTTTTTTGTAATATATATATATATATATATATATATATATATATATATAGGCCTAGGCCTATAGGCTATATTTCATTTCATAAAATGACGGAGATTATTGACATGGCATTTTGAGACTTACTTTGCGAGATAATGCTTTTCACATTCTTATTTCTTTCATTGTGACAGGCCTTTATATATTTGACAAAAATCACAAACATTTTGTATTATTTTATAGCCCATAGGCACAGTCACGTATGGTTACATCAACGACCTGTAGCCTGTTAACATCACGAAATACGCACGTCATTTTCAAAACTGAAATATGACTTGCCCACAACAAAATTCCGTTCGGCTTTAAGCTTTTAATATCAATGTTATATAAGAATGATGGGCTACGCATGCGTAAACTCTCCAGCACGAAACTAGACATTTGCCTCCATGTTAATATCTCGCAGACTCGCACATCGCAACTATCAGAATAATCCACACACAAAAAAACTTGCTTATTGGTTATTATCGGAAAAAAACTATTGGCTATTGGATTCAATTTTGTTAGCTTAATGTAGTTACCGGAAATGAATACTTTAAAAGAAACATGAATACACGTCACGCTAGGGTTCATCCACCATAAACAAAACACATGTTTACAACAGTTTTGAAGCGACCAAAAAAAAAAAAAAAAAGAAAGAAAGAAAAATCTCATTTAACAGTTGTTCCCTATGCAAAATTGTTAAAAACAAAACCTGAACAGATACATTGACAAACGGTGCCCTAACTAGTCAAAACTAGTATTCACAGGTTTTTTTTTCCCCCTTTTTAAAATGTTAATGTTTGCAGTAACACACAAAAAAAAAATGCAACCACGTTTAGGAAAATAAAATTGGAATATTTAATGAAGAAACAAAAAAGGATACATATTTTACATAAAGGAAAACAAAATGTAAACATTAAAAAAAGTTTTTGTATGAACAATATAAAGGAGAAAAAAGCAACATTGGGAAAAAAAAAAAAAAAAAAAAAAAAACACTACTTAACTCACTTTCCAAAGAAAACTAAACTCTGCATCTGTCTTTACCTTTGACCATTCAGTTCAGTCCGGTGAAGCCAAGTATCATCCTGACTTCTCTAAGTCGGATTAATGATTCAGTCCATGAAGGTACCTATTTCTGTACCTGCGAGACAGCCATACCTGCACCGGCTAGGCCCCGGTAGATGTGATAAAAAGATGACGTGCATACGCTGCTTGGTGGCTTCTTGCTTCAGCAGCACGAGCAATATTGGAGGCATTGGCCAAGGAGTAACTCCAATATTTACATGCTGCTAAAGCAAGACAACACACGCACACGCATTCACACACTTGCAATCTCTCCATCGGCTGCGTAGGTCCCAGGAATTGATGCTGCAGCACATCACGGCCTGTATCTCTGTATCACCACAAACCATTCTGTGCTGCTACACCATCACCTAGAGAGGGTTCCTCTCTCTCACAATCACGCTCACACACCCTCGGCAACATGACCAAGCACTGCCAGAATCAGAGCGAGTGACTCCTCTCCTCCCTCTCTCTCTCTCAGCAGGGCTTGAGGTATTCCAGGACTCCATCTGAAACACAGAAGAGAGGAGGACGCTTGAGTGAGAACATGCACACAGCAGCTGGACGTGATGCTGTCAGTTTGCAGTAAAATATTTCAGTGTCTCCAACCGTGTTTGCCTGCACCCCATTTGCATACAATAAAAAAAAGTGGCATTGCTACATTTGGGAGCAGGACTCGTTAATTAAATACATACTTGAGACTATTGTTTATTTTATTTAATATATGCCATTAAAAATATATGCCATTTTTCATAAAAAAAAAACCCTTAACACAACAGCATACATAAAGTTTAATGTAAACTTTTAAAAGATGGATCCACACTGAATCTGAATTTTTGCACTTCAGTAAAATGGCAGCTATAAATGTATAGTAATGTTATGGGACAATTATGGGTATTTTAAAATAATTCCCAGTGGATTGTAGTGTATTGTTGTTTTGACATTAACATTTTTTTTCATTTTTTTTTTTTTTAGGACAAGGCACAAGAGATGACTGAAAATAAAGCATTACAAGAGGTTTAAATGGCAGTTAGAATTGTATATATATTTGCAGCACATCATTCTGATTTTCTACAGGCTGGACTGGAGATCATTGCGGACACACCTATCAGCAAATTTCCTGTATTATACCAAAACCTGTCCTCTGGCTACTTATAAATAATTATATAAAAAGAAACAAGCAACTAGTAATATTCTCTTCTAGACCAGTCTGGATTTAACCTTCAAGATAGTGATTCAGCACTGACAACATCCTGCCTCGTAGTCATCTTCAACAGCGGGAGCTGCGCCGCCACCAACTTCCCAAAGTGCTGTCCCACAACAGAATACATCTCTTAAGCCTACACTATGCTAAATAAGATAGCTCTACTTTATGAATCAATCACTGTGGTCTGTGCCTTACGGGTATACAGTAATGATTAAACTTTAAATATTCTAATTTGAATATTAACAAAGTCATAGTTGATGTGAGACCTCATTACCTTCTGAATTTTAAATAATTCTGAAGTACTGTTAGTAATATTAGTAATATATTTATTCAACCAGAAATTGAATGGCGAACACAGCCATTTTCTTAAACACACAAGCTTTCTGAAGACTTATTGAAAGTAAAATATAATTGTTTTGAATTATACTTTAATTAGAAATGGGAGAATTGTAGCATAACACAAAAACTCAAGTACATTTTCATGCCTGCTATGTACTCTCTGAACAGCAAAGATGAATGAACGGAAGCAGCAGAAGGGTGAGATCTGAAGTGAGAGTACTAAATAACACACCGTTTTACAGCCAACAACACTGATTGGGCCTAAAAAAAAAAAAAGTTTGGTTCCGGTTGGTTGTCAGTTGAGGTCATGGGTCGGTAGGGAATTTTTTTTTTTTTTTTTTCAGTGGCAGCAAGGGATGGGTAGGAAATTCAAGGGATAGTTCACAAAATTATTTTTTATATGTTTTAGCTTACCTCAAGGGATATGTAGGTGTTTTTGTTTCTGCAGTATTTTCAATTTTGATATTTTTTGGTCAAAACTAAAAATATCAAAGTGAACTATCCCCTCAAGCCTTTTCACGTGCTTGTCCTCCAGACAAGTAAGTAAATCTGTCAATCACTTGTCTGAGTAAAAAGTTGCTTGTCCGGATTTTTTAAATTTATTTATTTTTTATTCTGAAGCAATATTCTCATCAGTGTTCAATCAGCTTTGATATTTAAAAAGGCATATTGTAATATCTGCACCTTTAAGAGCATCTCCTCCACCAATATTATTAAATGCCCTATAGTGTCTTATTATTCTAAATAATTGAATTTATTGATCAAATTTAGGAATTTAAAATGAAAGATGAAGCATACTGTTACCCTAGGTAGGGCTGATCAAATTAAATCATTTACAATGAAAAATTACAATTTCATAAAATAATGTTATGAAATTGATTTAAATGTGCAAATAAGAAATATTGGAAAGAATTATACTAGGCTACTTATAAACATAACACTAAACTGCCAATAGGTGGCGGCAGGCGGCCGTATTAACGAGTGAGTTATTGATTCATTAATTCAAACGATTCGTTCAAACGGTTGATTCATTCAAGAATGAGACAGATGTTGATGTTTATGAATGGGTCATTGAATCTTTGACTCAACCGATTCGTTCAAAATGCTGAATCATTCAGTAATGAAAACAGGATTCGTTCCTGTGAGATGCGTCGTTGTTCTGCTGTGACTTTTCTTTGGAACTATTTTCGCTGCTGAAATGGAACAAAAAACACCCAATATTGCTTATAAACAGTAAGTGACTTAATCTTAACTGTTTATTGAACTGTTGTAGGAAATCAATGCCACTTTTTCAATCGTGATGGTATTCAGGAAAAATAATTGAGGCTGCTTAGTGCTTAACATATGTTAAAATATAAAAACTCCACATTTAGATTTTTTATAGGCAGAGTATGTTGTTAACTGTGTGTGTGTGTGTGTGTGTGTGCTCCGCTCATGTGTGTAGATTTCTCTGCGCGAGCGTCAACAGCGCAAATTTACCATCAGTAATACAGTAGCTGCTGCCTGCTACATTTATTATCCACAATCGATCGCAACTTGCAATAAATTTAATAAAATCAGAATCATTCTCTCGGTTTAGTGATTCCCTAGTTATTTTTTTGTTTGTTATTGATGTTCTAATCAGGCTACTTGTCCGTTGGGGCGAGTAAAATTCTCTTTTACTTGTCCTTCAAAAATCCATTTGTCCCGGAAAAGCGGACAAGTTAGACGGGCTCTAGAGATACGAACCGCGGCAGGTTAGAGTGTTTTGGATTGCATAAAATAATGAAAGAAACGAACAAATACATGGCGAAAGAAGTGATAGACAGCAGAAGATGGAAAAAAATTGTATTTGTGTATTTATTTAATTTTTATTATTTCTTCCCCAAGCTCATAAAATAATTTTGGGTCGCACATAAATTGACAGGGTCGGTCGGAAACCGGAAACAAACAATTTTTTTTTTTACGCCTTGTAATGAACTGATCACATATGTGAAATAAAATAAAATCAAAGTTTGTTATATTACAATATATTAATTATAACAAATATCAACTGAAGCATCTGTTAATTATGAGAATTGACTTGTAACACTGACACCAAGCCAAGGTTACGACCTGACTAACATATCTATGGAATTTGGGTCAATGATCCAACATGGATTCACAGCCAAGAAACAGCCATTGTGATGATGCTACAATATGTGTATAAAATGTTTAGCTCCTGATGAAGTCACTGATTTTTTTCATTATGTAAAAAACCAGTGTACGAGATTTTGAAAACAAACAAGAATTTACTAAAATTAGCCAGTGTTTTTTTTTTCCACTCCAACAAAACCTAATGCCTAGTTGTGATCTCAAAGACTGACAGGAACTGTCTATCTAACCCTTTCTCACACCATACGGCCAATGCTTGAGAAGCCTATAAGAGCCTATGACCTGATACCGACAACAAACTTTGAATTGCTTCTAAACAAGAGTTGGCATCTGAAAGCTAAAGCCAAGCTATCACTGCCTGAAAAACTGAGTGAATTCAATACCATAAGAGACTAGTAATACTAATAAAAAAAGTTTTACACTTTGCTTATGAAAACAACCACCGTGTAGATCTAAAGCAGCAGCCACTTCATTGCTTGAAGGGGATTTTTAAGCCTTAATAGAATAAAGGCTTAATGGCATAAATGAAACTTTATAAATGGGAAATGCTAAAAGTGTCCTCTACTGGGTGTGTATATAACACCTGAAATGCCTAGTTGCTATAAAAATGTGTTTTAGCCCATGATCTCTTAAAACAATTAACACACAATACATTAATTAAATTTCCAGGTAAATGTTATTACCTTGATTTGTTGTCTGGTTTCTGACATCACAACTCGGCAAACACTGGGGGGGGGGGGGGGGGGGGGGATCTAAAGATCTAATAATCTGATGTAACGGACAGCATCAAAACATAAAACCAGATGCTTAAATAGTTTCAAAAACATACACCTAGTTTTAAAAAATCAAATCAAATTGATACACCTCTAGTTAATGTTACAGTGTGTCTGTGAGAACGTTGCTGTCAACTATGTGAGTGGATGCATGTCTTCTCTGAGAACACTCCAGTGTGTGAGGTGGGAAATATTATTGTGTGTGTATTATTCAAGTCAGTTAAACCTCAAATGGACCTTTAAAAATGAATACCCTTCAATGCAACAAATAATAATGATTGAAAATATTGTTGGCCTATGAATTATAAGACAGAAACTTTCTGAAAAGTTTCTGTCTCAAAAAGTATTTAAATTCTCAAGATATTTTTTTTTTAGAAAAATAAAAACAAATTATGCATGCATCTCAGATCTGAATAAGAGATGCATGTGTAACACAAAAACAGAGAGACTGGTGAGAAAACGTTTCCCCACTCTTTTCACCAACTCCCACTTTTCTCTTCCCCCTCTCTCTCTCACACACACACACACACACACACAGCGAGCCTTATGCGAAGATATTATAAATTAGTATCTTCACAGAAAGCATCTGCCCACATTATTTTTTATCACAGAGAAAAACAAAACAAAAAGATCAGTCACACAAGTTATAAGACAACTATCAGAGCTGAAAAGAACAAGCAAATGGAACAACTTTGAGTAACAGAGCAGGTCAAACAAAACACAGCCTGGTTAGACAACCCAAACTTCATATATCAAACCATTTCAAATATGTTGGATTTTTTTTTTTAGGCTTAAGTGTTGCCATCAAAATAACATTGAAAGTTCTTCAACTCGGTAATGTGTAGTTGGCCTAGCCTCCATTTTGGTGTTTAATCTTGTGCACTAGCAACATCGTAATCCCACAAGATAAGTGCGCATTATGTGCACCATATTACACTATAATTTTAAATCGTGCAGCAAATATATAATTTGATTATATACAAGCAGCGCATCAGCACATAACTCTTAATAACCTAGAAAGTGGTCAAGCATGTGTGTTGTGTGTGTGCGAGGACAG